TGTACACTTAAAGACGGAAGGATGTACCTTTTATTTTATTGATTGATTTTGTAAACTTAAGATGTGAAGATTACAGCGAGAATATTTTTGGACTTTTATTACTCATTTGTGTTCACATTTTTTGCCTAAATGTATGTATTAATGCTAAGAAGCTTTCTGCTTTATTATATTCTCTTAAACTTCTTGTAATCTATAGTAATATCAGTTTCGCTTTCCAATTTGGAATGCTTTATAAGAGGTAGACGAGGGGGTATATTTGCAGAAATTGGCACAGCAGAAGAAGATGCTTATTAAGGGATTTGACCATTAATAGTTATCTTTTCTTTCTTATGTACATAGATGACAGAACTCTTATAGTGGAAAAGTAAAACATAGCATTATATTTGTTTTTAAAACAATCATCCTTGAATAATTCATATCTTGTCATATTTTTTTTTACTTGGTAGTTGGTATAACTCATTAAATGCTTAGAATTATCTATTGTAAATCATTTTTTTGGTTATATACAGCTTCCTTGGACTTCTCTTAACATACTTGATGGAATTCCATATTATGTAAGAATGGGTTTCCTTTTCTTTCGGAAGCTTGTTCTATAATATCAAACACAGCTCTGTAAAGATCTTACAGGAAGAGGTTGATACGGATTTCATTTGCTTCTATCTTTTCAGCACTTGTCCAGAGAGTTAAACTTCTCATTTTTATTATGTCCTCTTATAAAACATTTTTAGGAATTGAAGATCTAAAATTGGGAATATTGTGACTTGTTACCTCCAAAAGCACATTTTTGGATGATCCCCATCGAGTTTTAGAGCTATTCGTTTTGGTACTTTCTGAAATTTTGAGATAAATTTTAGTTACGTGCTTAATGTCCACTTGGTGGTCACCATTGACCCTTTTTTTCCCCTCCAGGGCATCTTTAACTAAATTAGTTGATGCTTTTATAGGCACACACAGATATGCTCATCAAGAAGTAGCAAAAAATGTTACAAACTACAAATTTCAATCAAATTTCTGGCTAACTAAGGTAAATTGGACTATTTGTAATGTAATATTGAGCAGCTATTACTGCAATTCATATTTGTTAATTCTATAGTTGTTCTCCAAAATATTGACTTGGCATCAGTCGTGAATAGCAAAATTTGGTTAAATATAAATATCTGTTTTAGTCATTTTCTGATGACTAATTCTGTGGTAGCATGGCGAGACTGTGCAAATGGTGAAATATGAGTGAATGCCTAACAAATTTAAATTAGCATCTATCAATGCATAAATAAGATCCCACTTAGATGTTGCTTGGAACCTTACTCAATAACGGGTCTGTCTAACTTGATTGTGAAAATACTTTGATCTACATCCAAAGGTTCATGTACTTGAGTTGTCAATGAGTTTAGTCATTGTAGTAAATTTTGTGCTATACACTGGACTTATATATATTCTACTGTTATGCTATGCTCACTCACGATATTCTAATCTCTTACTATCCTGTGTAAATATACGGCATAGTCGGGTACCATAGTAGGTACCCGTACTATGCCTTATATTACAGGTAGTAAGAGATTAGTAATACGGAGTGGCATAGTTTTATTGTAAGTGGATTGTTAGTATTCATTTTGTTGTTTTCAGTCTCTCGCTCGAGTATATAAAAGACTCTGCACTCTGTTATTGGAGAATTTTCTTAACGATCTCGGCATCCAAACAAGAATGTTCACAAATCTCTTCATACACGGTCAAACAGCAAGATGAAGCTTACAATACTTTCCATTGAACTTCAAAGTCTTCAGGTTGTGCTTTTGTTCAGGTTCCTTCCTCTCTTCAAACTCCCTACTCTGCCTCGTTAACAATTAGGCTTTCGCAAAAGAATAATGCTTACTGGAAATCACAAGTAATTTCAGCGGTTTGTGCATTTGATTTGGTTGGATCTAGAGATTTACCACTGATTGTTACTGTTGTTGATGAAAACTCTAGACCTAGAATTCAATTAAATCCAGCTTTTGCTGCTTGGAATCGAATGGACAGTTAATTGTGAATTGTCTAAAAGTCTCAGTCAATGTTGCGACATGTAGTTAAAGAGACGTCGGCTTGTGAAATTTGGACTGTTTGGACAAATTGACTATCACACAAGCTCGTTTCAAGTGATGCGTCTCAGACATTTGCTTCAAACCACGCCAAAGGTTCTCTAAGTGTCCATGAATATGTTCAGAAAATGAAAGATGCCGCTGATTAGCTCTAGCAGTTGGCACAGATATCTCAGATTCAAAACTCATACTCTATATTTTAAGTGGTAGGTCCTGAATTGATGCAGTGGTTGTGAATTTGACATCCTAGCTTACGAAATAAGTTGTTTACATTAAAGAGCTTGTTTGAACTACAGGCTTAGAAAATAGACTGTCTCAAATTCCTTCACATTCTAGTGATGTTCCTGGTAGCTCAGGTGTATGGTACTACCAAAAAAAAGAAAAATGTTAATGCTACTGGTTCAGTATCTTTTACTCTCAGTATCAGTCCACCATCATTTTAGAATTGTCAATACTTGTTCGACGTGGTACAGGTCAAGGAAGAACATCAGATGGTTGCAGTAGGCCAATTGCCAACTCTGTGGTATGTGTGTACCACAGGTTTGATATCAGTTTTCAAGGATCTGTTTCGGTCCAAATTCACACTCCATGCTTCCAACTCTCAATGGTTCAGTCAGCATCATCTCAAGCTTATATGATTCACCAGCTCTCGATGATAGATCCTGGTATCTTGATAGCGGAGCTTCTGAACATTACCTCCAAATGAGTATCTTTCAGTCGTTCTGATTACAAGGGTGTGAGAGCTTCAGTAGGGAATGGTCACTTTATCCCTTCTACATATTGGCTTATCTTATTGAGTTGTTCTTCTACAATATTTGACTTTAAAGAGAGTATTCATGTGCCTGAAATTACAAAAAAATAATTGTATTTCTCATCTTAGATAATCCTGTTATATTTAGTTTACTGATCAACATTGTCTTATAAAGGACAAGAACACAAAGATTCTCTTCTTCAAGGAATTATTAGGGGAGGATTCTATTGCTTAGTTCAAAATGATGCTACCAGCCCACTGCCACTCCTTTCTCTTCAGTTCCACATAATATTAGCATTCCCATGGTAAATTTGGTGTATTTTATTAATGCTATGAAGCATATAATATTGCTATTTGTACGTCTGTTGCTCCTGGCATTAATTTCTGATAATTTCTAACAACGTGGCTGCTAGTGTCAGAGATTAGTACTTGTATTGTATCTTAGAGGCTATACTTGTAATCTTTATGAGAAAAATAATAAAAAATTTGATTTGTAGCATCAGAGGCTTGGGCATCCACATGCTTTTGTGTGAATGCTCTTATCTCTAAAATATTTTCTCACGGATTATCTTCACTGATTTCTTCTTGATTTTCGCATCCTGTTGCTTTGGTAAACAACATCAACAACCTTTTCCTGTCTTTTTTAAGGTTTCTACCTCTCTTTGAGTTGATACACTCCAATGTGTGGGGTCCTTACACTATAATACACAAAGTTAAAGTTCATGGTGTGTTAATTTGTACTTAAAAAGTTCTCTGATTTTTCTATATAGTCTTAGAGTCCTTTTGAATTGTTTGAAACCTGAGATAATTACCCAAAATAGATTTTGATATATGGATTCCTCAAAATTCACTTAATTTTGAACATCTAAAAATCTATAAAAAATGATTTAATTTGTATTTTGATTTAAACTGATTAGATTAGTTTTGTTAGAAATTTGAAATATCTATTCAATCGGGTTATTCTTTAGCTTATTTGTAAGTGCCCCTCTCATTTTGGTATGAATTATGATTTGTACTTTGGGAACTCGTTCGTAATTCACCGGTAGAAATCAGAGATTTTATTTGAAGATTAAGCTTGATAAACAGCTGATATATTTAATAAGTCCCTGTCTACTTCAAGGTTTGAATTACTTAGAAATAAGCTGCATCTTACTGCTGCTGCTGCTGCTGGTACTGGTACAGCTGAATCCTCTCCTCAATCAACTAAAGACAACCAGAATTGATGAATTGATATATCTTTACAGCTTACTAATGTACTCAAGTCACTTCTGATAGTCTGCTGCTCATATTTGAGGTCAGTTACTGCTACTATCTGCTGCAGTAAAGTTTTCAGTTGATGCTTGTGTAATTTTTAGTTTAGTGGCTCATATTTGAGGTCAGTCAGTATTGCTATCTGCTGTAGTAAGTGTTCGGTTGCTACTTTTGTGATATTCAGTATTGGTGAAAGTAAGGTTGCTGTCTGTTTGTGTAATATTCAGTAGAAGTCAATCTGCTATCTGCTGGTTCTGGTCAGATTGCTATCTGAAAATGAGACTACTCTCTGTTGTCAGAAGTGCTCAGCTACTGCTTGTACAATGTTCTATTGCTAACAGCTTGTTCTCTCAGTTTGATCACATTAATGATAATCAGTTGATGCTTGTGTAGTATTCAGTTTGGTAAAAGTCAGATTGCTGTCTACTGGTTTTGGTCAGATTGCTATCTTGTGTTTTTTGGGTGAAAGTCAGTTTGGTGGACCATAGCTTATGTCTGTGATCAGTTTGCATACTGAAAGAAGTGATTCATTTCAGCCTAAATTCCAAGAACTTTTACTCAGTCTGAGAGAAGATATTGATAAATGAAGATGCACAATACTACACTGTTCTGTTTTCAGGAAAATGATGGTAAAAGTGCAACAAATCCCAGTTTAGTTTGAGGGAAGATATTAGCAAGAAAAATGTAATAATCTTTCCAGGTTTAGTTTGAGGGAAGATGTTAAGCATTGTTAGGAGTTCGTTTAAGTTTCTGTTAGTTTGTTAAAGCAATGGTTACTGCCGTTAGGTGTTAGTTACTGTTCAGCTTAAAACAGCCTATAAAAGGTGTCACTGCAGCTTGTACTTGTTATCAGAAATACAACAGAATTTTTTTCAGAAAACTCTCTTCTTCTTCGTCATTTTCCTCCGTTTTTGCTCCTAACCTGACAAAAAGAAATACTGAGTGGATTCAAATGAAGTGTAAACTAGTACAAATAGTAATTCGCCATGATTGTCCGAGAATACCTAATTACTAGGATAAAAAAAAAACAAACAAAAAAACTTCACATTTCACAATGAGATCAACTTACAACAATATACTTCACAATCCAATAAAACTAAATCTACAAGCAGTTGAGACTTGCAACCCAAAACTCTTAGAAATTAATCACGCTTTGCCGATCTGAAGGAGCAACACATTGCCACAAGGAACAGTACGCTGGAATATCTGCTGCTTCAAAACCCCAAGGGCAGCAAGATTGCATCCGTATTCCTGGTCATTTTAAATATGCGTTAATGATATATGGGAGTAAGAAGTTCAGAGAAACAGATCATACTAACGGTTCCAAAAATCAAGCTTTACCTGAATATCAAGAAACAATTGCATGCAAATCTTGTCAGTGTCGGATACATTATGGTCTGAGACATCTGAGCTTGCTCCAGCTCGCCTTTGTGCACCTTGCCGTATCTTCAGGAGTGAAGACTCCGTTTTCCTAGCCTGGGCAGGTGATTTAAAGAATATTAGTATAAAGAGAATCCTAAAAGATTAAAAACTTTTACTCGAGACACTAACCACACTGATGAGCTCAGCAGCCAATTCATGATAGCAACCAGTTATCTTAGTTGAAGCACCAAGCAGTAATTCCTTCTTAGTCTCCTTTGACAAATATGTCATGGCTCACTCTGCATCTAATAAAGTCTGCAAGTAGTAGATAGTTTAATAAAAAATTGATGACGCGGAGCACATGTCCTGGGTGCTTGTGTTCTTATAAACAAAAATTGTTAGCCTTTTAGGCAACATATTAATGTACGTCCATTAGCATTAATTTTTTAAAAACCTTAGAAATCAGACACTAATTTGCAAAAATTATCAGTACATAAAAAATAACCAGAAATATGATCCATCTCTTCATTATTGATATTATTTCTGAATGCATATTTTATTCGAATTTGGTGGAAGAGCCCATGTCATCACACATGTATTACATTTTCTAGGATACACCTAATAGACTGTGGTAGTAAAATTAGACATAGATTTCTCAAGCCACATTTCATGTCCATAACAGTATATCAGAACAATAATATGCACAAGTCATCCAAACATGACTTCAATCAAAATTCAAAGAATTACAACCGCAGATGACAAGAAAATATAATGTTCTCAAGTGTAGCTATAACCTAAAGAAAAGACTGCATACCTTCAAGGGGCGCAATACACCAGACACATAAGGGGAATGCCTGACAGGAAGTGGTTTATTAGTCATCCTGTAAGTTGCAGTTATCCCCTTAAGCTGTCTTAAGTCCTACAATTTTTGACAAAAATGCTGTCTCAATCACCCAGCACATCATCAAATATAACATAGTAATAGCATGTTTAACTGAGATTAAAAGGAATATATAGAACCCTGCAACTCTTAAATCATTGCATAATCAATATTTAAAACAGTCCTAGAAAAAACATAGAGCTTACTTCCACAGCCTTCTCAACAAGTCCCTCTATTATCGTGTTGATAACTAAAGGTAATGTAGAACTCAATGATTTTCCACCATCTAAAATGCTCTGTTTTACTAGAACAAGAATTTCAGTGGAGCATGAAGACAGAAGCCGAAGTACATGAACCAGGTAGTCAACAGAGACCTCTGTGGCCAGACAAGTTATGTCATGAATAACCTGCACGTCAGAGAACCTACATAAATATGCTAGTTAACCATGATAACTTTCATGACTCTGACATGGATGAGTTTAAATCTAGTGAACACTACAGGAGCATAAATAAGGTCAAATTGGACTCCAAAACAGAAGTAAATAAATAAATAGAAGGTATATTACTAGAGATGAACTTCAGTGCTATCCGTAAAGGTTCAGATGTCAAATATAAGCAGATCGCTTAGTAAAATGATAAATGTAGGAGAAAGAGATAAAGTTGAATAAAGGCAAAAGTCATACATAAATAAAATCATCCGGAGCAGCTGAAATAGCCCATTCACATCCAGGATTGGAGCCTGCACTACGAGACTTCCGAGCAGCCAGTCCAGATGACAACCAATTTGAGTATCTGTCAGAAATTCATCGATAAGCAGTCAAATGATGATATAAATAAGCAGAACAGACTAGTATTTTTCAGTCCAAACTCCAAACTGACCTTGAAAGAAGCTGCAATGACAGACGAAGAAATTTGTCGGAGCAAGAAAGGAGAAAAACATCTTCTCTCCAGCAGGATCTCAAGCTCTCTAAAAGTGTAACACTTTGTTTTAATGTTAACACACAAGACTTTCCTTGATCAGAATGTGAATTCTGAACAGGAGTAAGACTTGCTCCTGTAAGAACAGAATCTAAAGCCCCAGCAATTTCCTGAAACCGAGGATAGAATTGTTGAAATGTAAAATAGGAAATAGAACTATTCTTGTAATATAGGAAATAGAATTATAATAGGAATAGGAAATAGATTATAATAGGAATGTAACAATTTACTTCCTAGATTAGTTTTTGTTTTTGCTATAAATTCATTGTACATTTCATTAGAATACACAAGAAAATATTTCTCCACATGGTATCAGAGCCAAGTGTCTGAAATTTCAAAATTTTCTTTTTTCTCTCTTTCTTGGAATTTTTTTCCGGTGACTGTTCGGCGACTGTTTCGGCAACGATCAGAATCTGGTCTAATCACACCAGACTGATGTCTTCCCATGTCGTCATAACCCAGGGATTTCGTCGCCGACCGCCGCTGCACGCGCCGCTCGTTTTTTCCGGCAGCCTCCTCCGATCTACTTTTCCGGCGAGCGTGAGTTTTCCGGAGAGCGTGAGTATTCTATTTTTCCGGTGCACGTAAGTTTTTGCTTTTCTGTCAGCTTCAAGACACTTGACCTTCTCATGGATTCCTCAAAATCAGTTCTCAATCACAACAAGTGGTTTTTTTTTTTATCTCTCCCTCCCATCACCACTGAGCGATTAATTGGGACTGCTAATTATTCATCAGGGCTGCCTCGTTGAATTATGGTGTATGGATCAAGGTTTGGAAGATCACTTGACACCAAAGTGCCGATATTACGTCAGAATAGTCTTCCTGGACTAAAATTGATGCTATGCTGTGTAGTATGTTATGGAAACATTGATCCCCCTCTTCACCCTATTTACAAATCTTATCGCTCTTGTGTTGATATTTGGAGTCAGGGTAAACTCTATACAAATGACATTCAGCATTTATATTCTGTTGTGTCCAACTTAGTTCATCTTAAACAACAGAATATGAATATGTCGGAGTTCCTTGGTAAGATGGCCTCCTCAAGACAGAATTTAATCTGCTGGTACCTCGTAGTAAATCTGCGACAGAAGATTTGGCTCCACGGGACAAGTTCTTTATGGTCCTGACACTTGCAGCCTCGGACCAGATCTTACAACTGTTCGAGATCAAATTCTTTGGATACCGTGCCTTCCCTTGATAAAGTGTTTGCCAGATTACTCTCGGGTTTCCTCCCCTACTACTGTGCATTCCCCAGGTGACTTCGGTCCTTGTTTCTCAGTCCCACTCTTTTCAAGAAAAGAGCGATCGAAGTGGCAGAAGAAATCGGCCCAAGTGTAGTTACTGTCATCGGAAGGGGCATACCAGAGAGAAATGTTTTAAGTTACATGGTCGACCTACCCGAGCTGCTAATATTGCTCAGGCTGATCACTCTGATCTTCATTCTGAGTCCTCTACAGTGCCAGCTCAAACCTCCTTAACTTCACAGGTATTGATTTGATGAATATACAGTATCAGGCTAGAAGCAGTCTTCTATCCATTGCCTCCGTCGCTCAAACGGGTAATTCAGTTGCTTGCCTTTCTCAGTCTTCCGCTTTAGGACGTGGTCCTAGATTCAAGTGCTCGGATCATATTTCTGGAACCCTCGTTACTTACTCAAATTACAAATAATGTATCTTTACCTCCTGTACTTAGCCAATGGGTCTAAAGCTATGTTCAAGCTATTGGATGTGCAAACCCCTCCCCTCCTTCGCATTAAACTCTGTGCTATATTTCCAAATGTCCATTTAATCGTGTCTGTTAGTAAACTTACCCGCTCCTTAAATGCTCTATTGTTTTGATACTGACTCTGTTGTTATACAGGTCGCGACACGGAACGGATGATTGGCAACTAATGTCAGTTCCAACGACCAGTAGCAGACATCCTCACTAAGTCTCTCAAAGGTTCTCGTGTTGACTTTATTTGTAACAAGTGGTGCCATGACTTATATGCTCCAGCTTGAGGGGGAGTGTTGAAATGTAAAATAGGAAATAGAATTATCTCTTTGTAATATAGAAAATAGAATTTCTCTTGTAATATAGGAAATAGAATTATAATAGGAATAGGAAATAGAATTTAATAGAAATGTAACAATTTACTTCTAGATTAGTGTTTGTTTTTGCTATAAATTCATTGTACATTTCATTATGAATACACAAGAAAATATTTCTCCACAGAAGTTACAAGTCAACCATAGTTGAATCTACTCTTAGTAAAGCAACCATTTAGGAGTTACACGCATACCTCAAAGAAAAATAAACCCCAACATTCCATTGCTTCATGAACTCAACATACACGGCTTCTGCTCTGAATTTAGCAACAGCAGATCTGGATGGACAATAGCCTTGCATGACAATTGGATGTTATAACTACAATGAACAATGTATAATCCAACATAAATTATCTATTTAATCCTGAACAGTCTCTTAAAAATCCATTAATAAACATCAAGTGAGCTCTGGGGATTTTTGAAACTTTTGAGTATGCTATAAAATTATTATTCAGAAAAAGAAAAACCAAATTACTACCTTCAAGATGAACCAAGAAATCAAGGCTTGATTTGTAATTTTTCAAGAATTCAGTGGGACTTCCTGGAGAAAAAGCCCCTGGTTTTCCCTTCTGAATTGCTGACAGAACCTCCTTCAGGACTGAATTTGCCAAGAAGTCAAATACATGCAAACCTGAGTTCTCTGAAAAAAAAAGAGTAACACAATGATTCAACATTAATACACGACACTAGAATTCACTGAAACAGATTAATTGAAGGTTTATAAAAGACCAAGCTTTCCTAGCAACCGAAATATATGAAGCAGTTTTTTAGTAGTTAATAGTACTACACAAAGAAAATGAAGCATGGCAATACCTGCAGAAGAAATTTCCAATAAGAATTTACAGTCTTTCTCAATACATTGTTTGATTTGCTTATAATCATTCTCAAGTTCATCTCCAGATGACTCAGCAACTGCCTCTGATGGCCCATGTAGCATTATTTTCTGTATCAATGGAGCCACAACAGTATTGCGGAAAATTTCATCTGCATTCCTGGTGTTATCAATGGCGGCATATGCACGTAAACAATTGTAAATTACATTTTCATCCCGGTGTTCAAGCCCATCTACAAAACAATGGCCCAAGCTTGCATCCAATAATAGGCTAGCACTCTGAATCCTCTTCTCCATGTTCTCAATGAAAGGCAGGTTCTGTACTGGCATAATATAGAAAAGAGATGGGGACACAGAATTAATGAGTTCTGAGTAGTTGATTTTGAGCATATTGACACATTTTCCTTTTCTTTATATGCATATGCCTTTATCTTAATTTTAAAAACAAATAAAAATAAAGTATGGCAAGTTAAAGCACACAGAATACCTGCTTGAGAACCAACAAAACAAAAAATTCAAAACCTATGCAAAAATATGTATTAATTTCAAAAGTTTATACTTGATAGAAAACTTGTATTAGCTAGCTTCAGAGCACAAATGTTTAACCTCTGATTACTTTTTTGAATGTTGAATGAAGACATTAAAGTCAATATTTACTCGGTTTTAATATTACGGCTGTGATAATCATAGAAGAACAAATGGCCAGCATCAACGAATAGTAAAGAGAAGGTAAAAATGCAGAGGCCATATGCTACATGTGCACTGGTCAGCCCATTGCCTGCTTATTTGCCAGCAGCTTTTCACACACTTCTTTCAGAAAACCACCTTAATTCTCATGTTTTAATTCATGTTTGAAAGTCATTATAAATCAATGATGCAAATTTCACTAATAAGTTGAAGATGGGAAATTAATGAGATCTGGCAATTTCAGCAACATTCACATTAAACCAATAAGAACATTGTGACTAAACGTATTTCAGAATAAAATAAAGAGAGAAGAGATGCAATAGAAAAACATAATAAGAAAGACAAAGAGACCTGCGCATGAGCCATATAGAACTTTAACCGATTCATCTCACTGGCAATTCTCTCCAAAAGCATGCTTTGAGTCTCCCTAGGATTCATTCCATTCTCAACAGGTTGTAGAGCAGTGGCATGGCCCATAGAATTTCTTTCGGACAAATTCACATCTCCATTTGACCAATCAGCAGATGCACTAGGTAGCTCCTTTATAAGTTTTTCAACCTGAACTCATCAAAATACATACAAAACAAAAGTGAAAACAAACACTCGTTATAAAATAAAGCAATTTATATTTGCTAAATAAGCACATGTAATTCTGCAAATGGACAAATGCTCGGTCTAGCAACTTGGACTATGTAAAGAGGAGAAATATTAAAAATAAAAATTCAAACCCTCAACTGATCCTTATGGATAATACATTTTTCACATGAAAAACAGCTTAATTTATATGTGATTTATTGATAACACATTCTTCACAAAATTTATTTTGAGCCTTTGCAGAGCATAAAATTTCAATTTCAATTTCAATTCCATGCCAATGAAGCTTCTAACTGGCCAATTCAAAAAATTGTTACCCACATTCCCATAAATTAAACACATACCTAAAACTAATCCAAAAACTTCATAGAGAGACCAGAATCCAATAAAAAACTAATAAATATTGACATTATAAGCTAGATGCTATCAATCAAATTTAACTCAAGTGAACAAAAATATCTATTCCACAAATCCCAAATTCCGAAACTTCTAGATCCATGCTTCTTTCATCTTTATACACTTAGCCGCCAACAAGAACAACACCCAAAACTCAAATTATCTATAATTCAACAACCATATCAACGTAATCGATAATTGAGTTCAATTCAACGAATAATTTATCAACTATAAAAGCACAGTAATTAATAACCTTAGAAACAACATGAAACGTGTCAAGCAACAGTTCAAGAGCCTCCCTAGCCGCAGCAGCCTCCGATCTTTGCTTTAAACCCCTCTGCAACGCCACGAGGGAACCTTCAACAGTGCCTCTGAAACCTTCGATTTTCTCTCTCAGCTCCAACAATGGGGCCCGCATCCGTACGACGGCCGCGTCAACATCGACGAGCTTGGTGCTCAAGTTAACGAAATCAGCATAGTCCCGGTTAATTAAATCAATAAGTTCATGCTTGAGGGAAGATAAATGAGCCTGTAGCTCAGATCGGAGTGTCTCGAAGGGAACGAAAGTTCGGAGCTCCGAGATATAGAATTCGGAGTCGAAGGTTGGGGAGAGAAAGAGATTGGATTTAAACCAAAGAGGATGAGTGTCAACTGGATCGGAGAAGAAGTCGGCGGCGGATCTAGGCGGTGTTGGCGGTGGAGCTGTTGGGATCGGATCCATCATTTCTGATTGTGGTTATGTTTCTTTGATCACAAAAGTTTTCTCCTAATTAATCAAGACTTCGTATTTGCCTTGGAATGAAGATTTTAGAGTGTCCGTAACTGCAATGCTAAGAAAGAACGAAAGCTTCCCACGTCGTCGTTTCATAAAAAACTCGAAGGCTTATGATGAGAAAATTTAGCTGTGCAGCCATCCCAAGTGTCCATTTAACAAAATGGCCCGGAAAATGTTTTTCATTTTTTTTAAATTTAGAAAAGCTGACGTGATATAATTAAGATTTATTAAACACGTAAAATAGGTTAAAATGAAAAGATTAAAACATATGTGAGCTGAATATAAATAATAAAAGTTTTTAAAATTTAAAATTTACAAAACAAGCCCTACTTATTCACCTCGCTTAATTGAAATTCATTAGGGCAAAAAGCAATTTCTTGAACCAAAGGGGGACACTGCGATTTCCGATCGAACCTATAAATTTCCACACCATATTCAATCCTAAAATCAATTTCTTGAACCCTAAACGGAATACAGTCGCGATTTCCGGTGATACAGTCACTATTTTCGATCGATTTCTTGAACCCTAAACAGAATCTATGCGATTTTTGGCTATACAGTCCACATTTCCGATCGAAACTGCAAATTTTGAGACCAAATTCAATCCAAAACCATGGCTGACACTCACAATGAGGGGGAAAACCCAACGCCACTTCGAATCCTAGATTCTGGTGGCGCAAGCAGTTCAATGGCTGCTCCGGTGGATCATCCGATCAGTGAAGGTGGTCCACAGGCAGAGGAGACGACGGCAGCGACACAACAAAGAGAAGAATCGCAAAACAGTTCTGAAGAGGAGGAGTCAGGCGAGAAGGAGGAGTTCGGCGAGAATTCAGGCCAGAAGGAGTCTTCCGAGGATGCAGGCCACGAGGAGGAGGCCAAAGAAAAGGTACGTATTTGTTTTGGGAGTACTGTCGCTTAAGCGATCATTTGTATCGCTTAAGCGATTAATCTCTTTTACTCATGGTCGCTTAAGTGATTGATTCAGTTTACTCTTGGTCACTTAAGAGATTTCAAATCGTTTAAGCAATCTTGTCCGAGGCAAAATCATCTTAGATATAAGATCGCTTAAGCGATCTTTTTTATATCTTAAGAGATTCTTTCAGTTTACTCTTGATCGTTTAAGTGATTTCAGATCGCTTAAGAGATCTTGCACGAGGCAAGTCAAGATCTCTTAAGTGATCCGAAATCGCTTAAGCAACCACAAAGGTAATTTTTTGTTGCTGATATTTTGTTTATTTTTGTTGCTGACATTTTGTTTATATCGATTGTGCAGATTGTGCGGACTGTAAACTATAGAGACTACGAGTTGGAGCTTGTAAGCAATAAAGTACCCTACTTCCCTACAAGGGTGACGATCAGGTCGAGTTGGGATGTTTTTGACAGAATAAAGGAGATTTTCGCTGGAATGAGGCATGATGCAAGAGTTTCGAAGACACTTGTTTCGATCGGTTTTTAAGAATCGGAACAAATTGGAAAAAGGCGTTTTGGGGGCAGGGAGTGCATTACATGTTGCTGCACTCAGTAAAATGCAATAAAAATAAAGAAATGTGGTTCGTGGTGGACGGAAAGCCACTACGTTTTGGGATGATGGAATATGCCTTGGTGACAGACTTAGGATGTGGGAAATTGCCAAATAAGCCAGAGGCAGAAGCAATAAGGAAGAGTCTGGGAGCCATAAGGTTTCGTAAGAAGGTTTTGCAGGGGGCAAAGTCTATTACAAGACACGTTTTAGAGGAGATGCTAGAAACAATTCGGTTTAATGATGGAGAGAAGATAAAAGTGTGCTTGGTATTGTTTTTACATTCGATCTTATTGGCTGGTGACTTAACAAAAGATGTTGAGAATGATTGGTTGTTGTTTGCAATCGACTTGGAGTTCTTTAATTCTTATCCGTGGGGATGGCTATCATTTGAGCGAACCATCAAGAGCCTGAAAAAACCAGACATGGCGTTAAAGCAGTCCCAATGGGTCGGGAAGGATGAACCAAGCACGTACAATTTGTTCGGCTTCCCATAGGCAATGCAGGTAAATATTAATAGCTTTTTGTTATATTTTTTGTAATATATATGTTTGAATTATGATATGGACTATTTTTTTACAATGCAGGCTTGAATGCATGAGGCCATCCCTATCTTCGCTAAGGCGGGGGGGAGGATCAACAATTTGGATGTGCAATAGCAATTTCCTAGGATGTTGCAGTGGCATGTCAAGAGGTGTACCCATTGGGATTATGACCAAATAGACATTGAGATTGAAACGGCTAGGGTAGGATTAAAGGATTAAGCTTTTGAATATGCAGTTGGTTTAAAATGTCGCTTCAATCTGATTGATTTTGTTTCTTATTGCAGGGAGTCGTCCGTCCCTTTCTCACCGCTATTGGGGATGAAGCGGAAGAGGATTATGTCACATCTTTCAAAGCACTGGAGGATGAAAGGAATGAATGGATAGACCGCCTGATGCGGGACCTAAAAAGGGTCACGCATGTGATGGCAGTTGCAGGGCCACTGCTTGACAACGTGGTTGATGCCGAGGATGATGAAGCTCCAATTGGCGGGAGGCCCGAGGATGAGGGGGAGGAAAAGGGGGAGGAATAAGTTCGTATGCCTCAGCAAACCGGTACAACAAGTACCGCTTTACCGAGACATTGGCGTCGGGAGAATGAGGTGGTTGGCCTCATAAACGGCCTGTTTGAGAGTTTTACAACAGCCGTTTATGACAGGTTTGACAAGATGGAAGAGCGCATGAAAAGGGTGGAGAAGAAAGTGGATAAGCTGGCAGAGAAAGTTGGTACAGTGGAGGAGGAAGTTGGTGGAGAATTAAAAGCGGTTGAAACTGGACTGAAAAGAGAGAGCCAAAAGAGTAAGTTTGTCAAATCGCCTTACATGGTAGTAACACAGGTAAAGAAGATGAAAATTAAGAAACAAATGGAGGAAGAACTAGAAATGGAGGAGGTTAAGGAGGTTGGTGGAGGAAGTGGGGCAGTGATAATGGAGGAGGGCGAGGTGGGAGGCGAATGAAGCGGGGGTGTAAAAATGGAGGAAGGGGGAAGAAGTGGGCAAGCGAAAATGGACTCAAATGTCGATTTGTATAGGCCAATAGAGGAAAAGAAAAAACTCTTCTATGCCTATTACAATGAATCAAGAAGTAATGCCCATATAAAGTGTAAGACAGGGGATTATCCCCGGGAATGGTTTGAAAAGTTGTTGACGATGGGCACTGGCTTGAGGACTCGGTGAGTTATTTTCGCTTAATTTTCCTTATTTTTGCCTATGTTTTCCATACTTATCCTGTTGTTTTTATTTTTCGACATATCGCACTTTAATTAAAATGCAGCTGGTAGAGGTGCAGCAAAAGGAGCGAAGCGAAAAAGATTGGCCCTAGAACAGTTGGACTGCATCCCTGATGATTTTCAGTTTGATGACAGGATTATGCAGTATGTACGGGGGGAAAAACTCAAATATGGCCACGATTGGGCCTTTGTTAAAAGAGTCTACTGCATCATCCTCATCAGGAGATGCACTGGATAGCAGTCATCGAGCATCTAGAGGAGGGGTTGCTGAAGATCCTTGACTACAACCCAATTATTTATCGAGACAAGCAGTTGGAGATCGAGTTGGAGCCACTATCCAAGTTGTTCCCGCGGCTGTTGCGTGACAGCGGGATGTTTGAGCACTTCGGTGATCAAGTACTAACCGGAAAGTGGCTACTTAAGCGCTCTACCGTCCTAATAAATGAGTTAAGGTAAATTTTGTATAAAACTAACTTACATAATACAATTGTTCTATAAGTTTATTCTAATGCTAATGTCTTCTTCCTATTGTAGTGCTGAATGTGGGGCATATGCCCTGAAATTTATTTAGTTCGACATGACCAACACCCTGATGGACGGGTTGAATTACTAAACAAGGAGTAACTGTCGGGAGCGTTAGGCTGTTGAGTGCTTCCATGGGCATATGGATCTGTTTTGAGTGACCAGAACCCAATCAAAAGGTATGAAAGTTGGACTTTGAATTTTGTAGTTTATGTGATGTTGATGTTGATACTTGGGTTGTGGTGCTGATGCTGCAGGTGGCATGCTTATATGGAGCTTTACCGAAAGAGACGGACTTAGTGAACTTCTCAATCTCGCACTCTATAACTTTTTTATGTGTTTTTTTTAATTTACAAAAGCTGACGTGTCTGCAGGTGTGTGCCAGATAATTTTGCAAGTTCCTGACAAACAATAAGAGAAAACTTCTCAAAGGCTGGTTGGCAAGATGAGGCATCTGCAATAAAGGCTGCTGGGAAGGCATGGTACCAAACATTGATCTCAGACAGGTTCCTGGCAAACAGAATTCGAAAACTTCTCAAAGGCTAGTTGGCAGGAGGAGGCATCTGCAATCAAGGCTACTGGCAAGGCATGATACCAAACAATGATCTCAGACAGTGATTATACAGAATTCAAAAACTTCTCAGAGGCTGGTTGGCAGGTCATAGGAAGGAAATGAGAATGTATGGAAGGGAAATGGTACGAAAAATGATACTTGGAATTGGGTTCTTTTTTGCAATTGTTTGGGGTGGAGGAAATTTTATTACAATTAGAACTAGAGTTAAATGTCTTAAGAATTATTGTGTTTCGGCACTATTATGGATGATTTTAAGTTTAAACTTTCAATTATATTGATGTCTTTAAATTTTCAATTACATTGATGTCTTTAAACTTTCAATTATATTGATGTCTCTTATATTTAGAGTTGTGATGAATTAGATTGATATAAATTACTTAATTTTGCGATACAAATTCTTTTCAGATTTGCGAGGGAAATGAGTGAGGTAAAAATGTATCCCAATCATAGTCATTTCGAAATTAATAAAATTAATTAACTTAAAGACAGCCATGGTACCAAACAATTATGTATATGAGCGACCACATATATCTCTTAAACGACCAAGAGTTTTCCACAAATGATCGCTTAAGCGATCTAAAATCGCTTAAGTGACCAAGAGTTATTTTACGAAGAATCGCTTAAGCGATTCATAAGCGATCATAGATCTGGGCAAAAGACTCTGCCTGAAAAAAATCGCTTAAGCGATCTGAAATCTCTTAAG